GCAGACTCAGCCTTGGTTCTGTGAATTAGTATGAAAAGGTCCTAATGCCATAAAATCCCCCATCCAACATGTATACTATCTATGGAAAAGTACTGGGAAATTACTGTACATCTTTGTGTTTTAGTTCCCTAATCTCCAAAACGGGCATGATAACAGGACCTACTTCAAAGGCTATGTATGTGGCCAGAAAGAACAGCGTTTTGGAAATTTGGAATTTTTGGAATATAGTTAGAACTCCACAAATATTATGTTGTTATGAAATTTCAATGTTAGAACTTACATTAAACTTTTATCTCAACCTTCTAAACAAAGCAAGATTTCCTTTCTGGAATGCTGACCAAGTACCTGGCTATCTTCAGCAAAAATTCTTATTATGAGGGGCCTTCATTACCTCATAGGACAAGCTACTTTATATTCAGACAGCCTAACTATTAGAAAATTCTTCTTTCCCAGTGATGTTTGCATTTAGATAGCTATGGCTGCCAACATTGAAAGTGTGCTATTGATTGTAGATTATTTTAAATTAAAGCCTTATGTACTGGAATTTGTCCTCCTGTGGGTAGACTCATAAATATGAAATCTGCCTCCTTCTTGATTAATTAACTTTTTTATTACTCCAGCAGGGTCAGCTGGTCCTCTTTCTGCTTCATGTGCCGCCATTAATAATCATTCTAAAATTTCTGGCTGGTCTTAATAATGATGTAGCTAATTTCTTCCTAGGTAACTGAAGCAGTACAGATTGTGTTTCAACCAATAGACTGGATCCAACATAATAGAGGTTTTTAAAAAAGGAGTTTAAGGAAGAAAGTGTGTTTACCAAAACATCATTTTGCTCTACCTTACAATGCCTCCTGATTTTAGAATTAGCAGTTAATTTGCAGTTAAAATTACATATACTATGTTTCTACTTGACTCAAGCCAATTACAGCTTGCTATCCAAAATAATGCAAGCAATATTACCCATGTGGCAAATAAAATTATTTGATCTTTTCTTTTAGGATCGGTAGGCAATGTATTTTTTTTTATATTTAGCTTTTGAAAATCATTGTTTCTTTGTTTGATTAATGCATATTGAAATCTATGTGCAAGGAATTTTATAAGATATACAATATATATTGGCTATAGTTCTTGTATTGCAAGAGTTTATGACTTTGTAAATAATGAAGACTTTGTACCATAAGATATTTATAAAATTGTAGGAAAGAGTAACAATATCTTGCTGGATTGATTGAGAACATTTTGGGCAGGATAGAACCACCATTTGTAATGTGATTGTTTCCTGAATATCCCAAGTTGTACAAGAACCTTAGATATGATGAAGCTATAGAACATTTTGTGTTTGAAGCATCTAAATAATCTTGTTTTCTTAGAGTATATCTTGACTTGAGCAAAACTGATGGAAATAATGTCAATATAGATCATATTTAGATAGAGACTTCAATATTTGTTAAGAAATTCATATTTAATTCTACAAAGATACCCATTAAATTAGTATATTCAAGTATACAAAATAGAAAATAGAAAAACAAGTCAAATGGTATCATACAGAATGCACTGGGGAAGAAGGAACTAGAGGCAAAATTTTGCACCTTAATTTTCAGGATCATTTCCCACTTACAAACTGTTAAAATTAACCACATTGCTGAAATGTCAAACCATACTGAAATAGCTGTATCTTACAGATATTTCCAAAATAATTAAGTGATTTAACTTTAGTCCTTTGTTTCTATACACCAATGTTCATATAAATGTGTAGACATGTCATAAGATTTTGCTTTGAAACATCCAGTGTAATTTACTAATTTCTAGTTTGATTTGTTAATATTCATGATAATTTTTGTGTGGTTATTGTATGTGATACAAATTTGGACAATTAACTACTGATAATACATTACAAGATGTTGCCAGATGTGGCTTTTATGCTACAAAACTGATTTATGTAGCCCACAGGTAAAAGCTTAAATTTACATGTTGTTAAATTCTAGCTATAAGGAATCTTTCCCAGGAAAAGGAGTGCATTCCTTATCTATGTTGGCAAGGTATTAATTATCCTGGGTCATTTAGCTAATTGTTAAGGCAATGGAAGAGGTCAACTGTTAATTATTACATGTAAAATTCTACTTTTCATTCTAAAATCAGAATTAAGCTATGGATTCTGCTCCCTTTTGATGGCTCACAAGCTATTTTTCAGTACCTAAGCAAAGGCACAAGATGCTTACACCGTAGTAGAATGTATTCTCTTTTGGTTTTAAAAATGCAAATTTAAAACTATTTTCTCTTATTCTAAAAGCATTTCAACACTATATAAGTTTCCATGGTGCTTTAAATAAAAACAAATGTTTGATTTCCGTAGTTTTAAGTATTTTTATTACTTTTAAAAAAATAAAAGTATAATTTTAACAGCTTATAGCTGAAAATGTATCCAAAACATTTTTTTTCAAGCAGCTTAAAATGTATAGATAATATTATTAACGATGTAGACTATTATTTATTTTAAATCTCTTCTTTTTCTCCATTAAAAATTTCCCCAAATAGGCATGGAAATGATAACAAATTCTAGGTGGTTAAAATTTTCTATTTGGAGAAAGCCACAGCTTCTCACCTTCCAGAAGACTTTCCTGCCTATTCCACTGAGTTAGGCTTCTCTGCGCACTTTTTGTATATATTTGTGATAATATATGTCACTACTCTTATATTTTTAACTTAAATTTTCATTTTCCTCCCACAAATATAGATTGTAAATTATACGAAGTAAAAGGCTATTAGTTCTTATTGTTTCTTTTTTGTCCCCAGGGCCTCACATAGAGTCTGACACATTGTAAGTGTCCTCTACATTTTTATGGAGAGACTAAAAACCATACTGAGTTACTGATGAGTGTGGGGCATTTCTGCTAAGAAAGTACCTTTTCCTCTACATAGCACCTGAAGGAATTCTTGTTCCGAAAACATGTCAGGATTTTAAGTTAAAAACATATCAAAGTTTTGATACTAAGTTGTTGATATTAAATTTTGAGTCAAAATTTAAAGTTAAAAACAAACCAAAGTTTTAATATTCAGTACAGAACTTATTTATTAGACACGATTGCTTTCTCTGAGCTCCATATGGATATAAAACTTCTTAAGGTTTAGCTATGAGTTTCTCTGAGAATGCATTTTTAACTTGATACAATGCAATCCTCACAAATGCTATACTTTTAAAGGTTAGGTAAATTTCTCCAGCTGTTCAGGGTGGGGAATCTGATGCTTCAAGGCCAAATGTGGCCTTCCAGATCCCCAAGTATGGCATCTTGACTAACTCCAAATTTTATGGAACAAATCCTTTCAATAAAGGGGTTTGTCCTGTGAAGTTTGGATACTGTCAAAAGGCTGTTCTCAAAGATCCAGAATGCCACTGGTTCCCCACCCCAGCTTGGACCAAACTTTCCTTATGTTATATCCCGGGTTTTGTCGTTAAGATTAAGGCTTGGCATGCGGGCAGGGAATAAACAATCAATAGGACTAAGCAAGGACGGTGCTTTATGTACTTTTATATTTATTTTATCATGGAATTACATTTTGTGATCTTTATACTGTACTCTCAATAATTTAAGCTCTAGCTTGAGAAGTTAATAGTCCCCAGCAGGATTATAAATGATTGCCACTGATATTAAACCCCCAGGTCACAAGTATTTCTTTTTATTAATTAGAATACTCTCACTCCCGAAGCTGGTTACTTACTTTTTCCTTAAACATGTCAGCACCTTTCTACTTTTTAATTAGATATAGCTATCATAAAACATTTTTTATGGATCATTATAGTTCATCTTTGTAACAACAACAACAAAACATTTCTTCTACCATAGAATTTGAAACTCAAATAGCTTTACTTCTAGGAAGTGCTAAATTGGAGAAAGTATGACACATTTTATGGTCTAGCCATTAACATTTTATAATGATACAAATTATAGGATTCAGCAGGATGGTGAAGGAGTTAAGAGCATAGACCCTGGAAGAAGACATGCCTTGGTTTCCAATTTTAGCTCAGCTTCTTACCAGCTGCATGAACTTGGACAAATAGTTAAACTCTTAGGGTTTCAGTTTTCTTATAAATAAGCGAGAAAAATAATATTTGTCTCACTGGATCAGGTTTGAATGAGAAAATACATGTAAAACACTTGACATCATTCCATGCATTTATTAGAGACTCAATATGGTGGCCATTATTATGTTATCCATAAGGAATTACTATAATGAATGTGCTACTCTTGAATTATTTTATTAATAAAATATTTTAGCCATGGTGGAAACAATTTGCTTATTAGATAATATGTATTTGGAATTTTTTTATTATGTGCACAGCAAAAGCAACTGCTATTATCCTTACAAAAACAGCAGTACCATGAATTTCGGAAAGCCAGAAATTCAATGGTAGAGCTGGGTTTAGAATGAGTTAAATATTTCAAAGCCTTTATTATATAACATTGGAAAACCTCATTCCCTTCATCTCCCATTTTGGTTTTCAACATTTTGAGGCTGTGGAATTAATGTGGCTTCCTAATTAAGTCCATGCTTCTACATTTAAGCCTATAACATTCATTTCAGTATAGCTTGTCTCCTGACCACTGTTTTTATTGATCTGAGACAACAAGCCAAAGCTGCACAATTTTGAAGAGCTAAAATCATTCATTCATGGCTTTAGTCTCTTCCAAGTAGCATGATGCCAGGACCAGAAAACGATTAGGCTAGCACCATCCATTGAGACTCTGTGTAATGGAGAGAGTGATGAATTCTACATAAAGGGACATTTTGGGCCACATTACAATTGTGGTCTGCAAGGCATTCTATTAAAGTGTTTAAGGATAGCACCAAAACATTTACTGAAGTGACTACATAAGTATTTATAGGATCAGAATCCCATGTGAAGGCTATTACCAATTTGGGACACCTAGTTTTAAAATACTAGGTCAAATTAAAATGGTATTAAATTAATATCTTACTTTATATCCTTGTGTGAAACTTACTTTCATCTCCTGTTTCAAACTCAAATTTTTGACTGTAGCCACTGTATCCTGTTGCAGTCCTCACCCGGATATGAAATATGTACTTGGTGGCTGGCTTGAGACCTGTGATGATGACACTGGGGGCCTTGGACCTCGTAGAGGAATAGGTGAGCTGCTCATGCTCCTGGCGGACAGAAGAAAGGGAGAAAGGAAATGAAGCAGAGTCATCCCCATCCCACTTTCTCCTAGAGACATTCCAAAATTAAACTGAGGAATTATGCTCCGAATATCAAACGTATTGATTACAAAGAGGTAGAAGCATGATTTTCCATAATTTAGCATTTAACTCTTTGCCATTATGATGCATATGATATGGTCTTGATTTGGAAATTTATCAAGGAAGATGATTAATCTTATGTACACTGCACTTGTATACTGGGTGATTTAGGTTTCTCATCCAAGTCTAAGAAATGGTGGTGGCGTGAGAACACGTTTACACAGAATGGCAGCTGCAGCTTGAGCAAAATGGGCACATCAGATCGGACCACAGCAGCAGAGTGCAGGGAGCAGAGGTGGGAGAATTCGAGTACCCGCTACTCACTTCTACCCGCAGGTAGTGCCAAAATGCCGGCGCTATCCGTGGGTAGACCTGTGGGTGAAAGGAAAAATAAATTAATTGTTTTTTAGAGTCTGGAAACTTGTAATCTCAAAATCAATTGCTTTGTTTTGTAACGTAGTGATTCCCCAGTAGTAAAAACTTTGAGTCAATTTCACAAATAAAATGATGAAATTTTCCCCTTGAGGGAATATTGACTCCTCCCCTAATCACTATGCTTATTTTTAAACACGTGCTAGTAACATAGTGATTGTGAGGTTGGTTCAAAAATGATCTGCCTGAGAAGGAGCGCTGAGGACACACACAGGCATGAAAAGTCTTACCACACCTGTGGAATCAAGGGCAAGGCCAGAGGCTTGGTTCTCAGGAGGTTTCCTGAGTCAACTGCCCCTGACCTCACTTCACTAATGGGAATGAATTTGCTCACTATCTCAGAACAGATAGTTCATTTTTAAGAGACTGTCCCCAATATGCTAGTGGTAGAGACAAATTAAGCGTACTTCTGTTTTTGTATGATATTATTCAATAATTTTGCAATAATATTTTAAGAGCATATCTGAAGAAATGTATTTGTATGAAAATTAATCACAGGTCAAGCTAGGTCAACAAGTCCTTAATTTCCATTACTCTCATTGTAGATCTAAAGGTAGAGATTCTCAGGAGTGGGGAGTGATTTTCAAGGTCACTAATGAAATCATTCATT